ATATATATATATATATATGGCTTTCAGCAATTTTTCCTTCTCTCAGTGCTGGAAATTCTGCAATAGCAACCCCTAGGGAGCTATAACATGACATTTCTATGGCTGGTAACAAGAATGAAAGTGCAGATGCAAGAACAGAAATAAAAAACATGCACAAGAAAGATTTAGTTAGAGGCTTATGGGAATATTTAGGTACAAAGTGTTCTACCATCCTTAATTTTAACAGAGTTCAAAACTTCTTTTCTTCCTGTTCTGCCCAGAAGAATGCTTATCAACATTCAGCTATCTTGGCAAAATGCAACAAAGACAAATATGCAAAGATGCAAATGTATGCAAGTAAATACACATGGCCATATTTAAACCATTTCATAAACCACATTTCTTAACATAACTCTTCCAGAGAAGCCATGATGTTTGTGGGTGAGCAGGAAAATGAACATAGACCAAAACAATACTAAGTACATTTGGGGCACCAAGTCAATCAACATTTTATTGTTGAGATTTTACAGAAAGCTAATTTAGACAGTTACAGTTAAAGAAATGGTGATTTTGAAATGGCAAGTTTGAAATGGTTACATTTCAAATATTAATGAGTTAACAGCTTTTACATGTGAAAAATAAAACCTAACACTTTAAAAGGGCTTAAATTATATCAGGCAGTAAAGACTCTAAACTAATTTTATTTTCAAGGAAATACATTTCAAAATAACTTAAAATTGGTCCTGTGGTAATCAAAGTGGGCATAGAACTTCTGTTATTGCATGATAAACAATCAGAAAGATTAAACTGTGAAACATCCTGAAAGTGAAGAAAAGAAGTTTACGCTTGATGTTAGAGAGAAGGTGGAGCTCTAGAAGATTACCAAAACTAGGGATGAAAAAAATCCCTTCCAGTCAAAGATTTGCTTTGGACCATCCTGTGTGAGATATAAACCTTCATCACTAACTGTGAAAACTTGCAGCAGCACTGACAGGGAGTAAGAACGTGACAGAAATGGGTAACAAGGAGTCTTAGCTGAAAAGCACCTGCAGTGTAAAGGCTATATCCTGATCCTATATAGGTGGTGGTGTTATCAGGGCCATTGATTGCAGAGTACAACATGCAATAATGAGGAAAAAATACACAAAAAGTAACAAATCCAAAAAATGAAATAAAAGACTGTTGCTGTTGTCTTCTATCTTTGCATTTATGTCTAACTAAATGCCATACATGTTTTTAACTTGGCATTAGGACAACAAGAGGAAATAACATCTGAATGTCTGGCACTCACAGAGGCTGGAATGTGACATACCTGAGCGACTTTTGTCTTGAAGGTAGAATATACAAAGATAGCTCCTCAGAGAGCTCATGAGACAGGCAGCAGTGCTGCTCTTCTAGATTTAGAGGTCACTAAGCCAGAATTTGTTCTATTATTTATTTATTTCATAATACATATGCATACATTTTCCATTTATTCCCATGGCATAGATCAAAGCTAATCAATGTAGCAGCTAATAAGAACAGTGTTAGTTCCTAGCAGTTTAGTAGTTCATTAGTTTGCCCTTGTGGATTTGATTTATAAATCCATATAGCAAAACGCCCTCAGCCCAGCACATTCCTTTCCTCTACTGCGTAACTAGGAGGGCAATTTAATAAAAAGCAGAGCTGAGTTTGCATGACTTGCATATTACATAGTTTTATTTTCTTGGCTCTGCTGAGACATAACCTTCTGCTCAGTCACAGGCTAAAAGCATAATTTTAACAAGAATGAGTTAAACTCTACTTTTTTTAAATGTAAAAGTTACTGGAGGTCACAGAGGACATCTATGCACTACCTTTATACAAGCATCTCAAAGTACTAAGCTCAGCACAGGCTGACTTCTGCAGTAATGACTCAGGCTTTTAGGAGGATGGGGGTTCAGCCCACCCTGAGCTCCGTGCTAGAAATATTTGAGCTAGGACTGAATCTACAAAGGCAGAAGTACAGACATAACCTTGGACACTCTGTGTCACCCCACAGACGGTCTTGTTCTTCTGCTGACAGGCACATATCACAGCCACAGCTCAGCAATGGGAAGGTGATGCAGCTGCGGGATGAACAGGCTGCCCCGTACCCTGCTGCAGGCCACGCACATGGCTCCAGCCCCAAGGTAAACTTGCACTTGACATTGAAATAAATCCTGTTGCTTTACCATAAAAAAGCACCACCGATGTCCAGACAGAATAGCACAAGGCATTGGATCTTAAACATGCACATGGGAAATGGGCCCAGTTAAACTACCAAATCATGCACTGTTTTTCAAAATATATGTATTGTGATGAGAAAAGGTGAATTTTTCTAGGGCCTGGAGTTCCTTGGAGTATACCACCACTTGTCCAGACCATCAACAGTTTCTGCTTGTCCTAAGACCGGTTCCAAATCAACACTTTTTCTCCTTTTCTATTCAGATATAGTGAGCTATGGAGACAGCTGGGACAGTAGAAAGCCCACTAGCTTTCTAGTGGACCAAACTAATATTTACATTAAAAATATACAGTTGCTTTTAATAGTCTGGATCACAGGCCTCCTTATCTCTTGCCTAAGAGTTGCTTGCTCAGTTTTGAGAGAAAGTGAGTGTAACTCTTGATATATCAGTTTCAGAATGCAGAAGTCATCTAGCTTCTCTTTCTGGATTAATTTTCAGACCCTGTTTAATATGAAAATACAATAATTTTCTTTGTTTCACTTTGTGTGAACGAGTACATTATTTGGTATTTTTAGTACTTAGGGTATATTTGTACTTCACATTTGAGAGACTATTATAAAGTCTGTAGTTCTGATAATTATAGTTGGAGTTCTGATAGTTTTGAAACAGACATTTCAAAGTAATTCAATTATAAGGTTAGAGTTATTAAAAATATATTTGAAAGGACATAAAATTCAGTTCAGGCTTGGGAACCCATGTTCTAAACCCACCTCATCACCGTCATTTGTTTGTTCAGCAGATTAATCCCAGCCTTTATAAAATCATGCTGCTAAGCAGTACTGTAAATGTGCATGGCACTCTGACAGACATAAAAACAGCCTTTATGCCCTCATTTCCATTTCTAAGAGAGGCTACTGACCCATCTTTTCCATGATAAACATAGCTCCATCTTCATGTACTTGCTGGTAACCTATTACAATAAGAACATACAGGTATATCCTAATCTACATTCAGTAATAAGCTACTTACTTCATGTACAAAAAAGTGTGCTCCTTATCATTTCTCTAACTGCTCTCTAATGCAGCATACTTCTATCATTGACTACCCCTAATTGTTAATAGCCACACCTCAATCCTCTCCTGAATGAATGTACATGGTATTCAGACATAAAACATTTTGCATCATCTACAGTTTCTGATACAGAGCTGATGAGGACAGCTTGCAGATCTTCAAACGAAAAGGTACTTTTGGTGAATACTTGCTTTCCAGAAGAAATCTCAGTTTCTCAGTTTTCAAGTAAATACACCTAATAACTAGCGTGCTTCATCTTTTTAAAATACCTCCTATTTTACCTAAGTTTTCTGGGGTAGGTAGAAGGTTAAAACCAATTTATTTACTCAAATAAGTTCTAACAACATCTTATATGCTAACTGCCACTATATAATCTGGTGCGAGCAACAGGAATACCAGCTCCTCTGAGGTTTGCTGGTTTCCCTTCCAGTGGTGCAGATAACTGCACTTTGTGGAAGAACACTCAAAAATGCAACTTGAATGTAATGTGACGGTTCAGAAAATGAAAGGCAAACCCAACTCCCCCCCCCTCCTCCCCTTACTTTAAAACCAAACAGCTTCCAAGAGTATAAAAATAAAGCACTTTACGTGAGGAAAAGCAAGAGGACAGAACCAAGAGCCTCCCAGCTTGCTCCTACCTTTGCACTGGAAGTGGTGAGTCGGCGTTGTGAGCAGCAGCCTGTCCACCATGGCGTCAGGCCCGCTGCAGCGGGCTATCCCTGGTTCTTTGTACCCTGCCTTCACCCACTCAGAAAGCCAGCGGAGGTTGCAATCACAGTGCAAAGGGTTGGTACCTAGAGCCCTAGTGGTGTAAAACAATTAACAGCAGTTATTTTGGCTTACAAGCAAAGATAACATCCCTGATCTCATTGGGGCACATTTTATTCTACACTTTGACAGGAATGCTTTACTTCAAAATGTGGGAAAGATCTTCTAAGTATTCAGGAAGTCTTTTAGATTTATCTCCTCCAGTATTCCCACTCTTTTCCTTTCTTCCCATCGTTTGTTAGGGAGGTTGTATAAATACCTAACAACAAATCACTTTTTCAAACAATAAATCACTTTTTCAAACAATTGTGCTTGAGCAATGTCGTCAGACATATTGCTTGCATCAAATTTATCACATTGGCTTCTTTTATTTAAGTTTTTGGCCTTCATGAGCATATTCTAACAGTGAATTGTGTAATTTAGTTTGGATCTGATTACTCATGTTAATGTCTCCTCACCAGATGAAGCATACACACAGAGGATACCCTTGTTTTCAAAACTGCAACCTGGTGTCTGCTAAGTTTGTTCACGGCTTTGAAAACACATTTGCTAGTTAACACATCTCTTGAGTTAGGTCATATGGATGAAGTGGATGCATTCACAAAGCAATTATAATTCACAGAACTTTTTCATTATTCATGGAGATCTATCCAAAAGAAAACAAACATTTTTACCTTAAATTTAGGTTCTGCCTTGACTCATTTATACTATTTTTTCACTTAAAGAAAGTGTCTTTTCAGGCAATCAGTCAATTACAAACAAAGTCCAGACTTCAGAAAAGTCAGTTTAAAAACAATTAATTTTTGAAAGTGTGAAGAAATGCATGTTGCAAGTCTGAATTTATTTTGCTGAAAGTAAATGTAAGGTTTTAGCTGTACAACACCTGAATTGCCATGGGAAGAAAAATAAATACAAATTAGTATAAGAAAGAGATACTGAAGAAACCAATAATTGAAACTGAGTTTTAGACTTTAGCATTTCTCCATATGTTAGAAACGCCTTTTAAGATGGTATTTTAAACTCAAGCTTCTTTCAAATAAAAACATATCAGTCAGAATATTGAGATAGAAACCTCAGTAAATTTGTTGATACATTTCTATTGGAGTGACTAATGAACCCACTGTGCCCTAGACAGATTCATAATGAGAGTTCATAGGTTCAAACCCTGTCTAGGGCTCATTCATCAAAATTAAATGTGTACTGCAGCACAGCATTAAAAAATATCCATCCATTCCTTCTGTAAATCCATTGCTTACAATGGAAAAAAACTACTGGGTTGACTTTTTGACCCTGTAACTGTGATCAACTGGCTCACTTGTCCAAGGTCAAACAAAATGCAGCAGTGAAAGTCAGACCAAGAAATTAACGTTAGTGTTGAGCAACTGCCATATATAAAATGGGAGGGGGAGGACAACGGAAAGCTAGTTACTGTGTTAATCTTTACAAACTACATTAGAAATAAAGCTGCTCTATAGACACTAGGAATGATTACCAGTAACATTGTTGTACAACTGCAGAAATTCTCACCGGTATCTTTCCATTCTTTTTTTTTGTGGTTTGGGTTTTTTTTTTTTTCGTTCATTTCTAGGAACTATAATAAGTTCTTGTATTTTCATTCATGAGTTTTAATATACTCTCTCTATTTCTTTGCCCATTATAGCAAAATATTTCCAGAAGGTAAAAATATCTTGTGCTGTAATGAAATACCACCTCCAGCATTTTCAAAATGTTGTGCAGATATTTCTGTTCAGAGACTTTTTTTTTTTGGCAACTTAGAATAAAGTCAATTAAAATAACTCTAGCCATGATAATGTGGAGAAACAGAGGAAGGGACATAGGAGTTACCAATTTTTATAGGTAATTAACATAGATATGAGTAAAGATGAGATGATTCAACAGGATTAGGAATCTGAGCTGTTTATCAAAAATCTGTCTGACAGAAATACCCGCTGTATGCAGTGTCCATTACCAAGGGCTTCTTTGTCGAGTCCCTGGAGTGCTGAGGGGTCAGTTTATGTGCGGGCAGTGTTTGGGAACCTCAATCAGTTAGAGTGTCGTGTGGATCAGTGAATGGTGTGGACAGCAAATGCAGGAACTGACCTAACTGAGAAGGTCTCAGTTCTACCCCAATGGACTTTAGGTTCTTTTTAAGTATTAATATATGTGATCCTTCAGTAGTGCTGTAACATTTTTATCGTTGCCCTGGACTAAACAAGTTAGTAGAGTCATGGCTTAAATAGACAATTATATGATTAAAGTAAATAAAGTAATAAATAGTAAACAAAACCAGTGTGAGTATAGCATACACAAACCTTCCTTTGTCTTTAGTGAGGTGTATCAGCTACATGCTTGCAACAGTTACGTTACAACAATATGATGTGTATAATGTAAAGGAAATTTGGTGAACATTTTCTTGTAGGCTTTAAACAGCTATGGAAAAAGTGATTGAAATATCTCGATCTCAATTTTGTTCTTCCAATTACAGATCAACTTAAAGCCATTAGAAAAGACTGACTAAAATCAATACTTTTGTCTATGCTACACAAATACTTCTTTGCACCGCTAAAGGTTAATTTTTTACCCTCCCTCTTTCCCCACCCCCACACCAAACTGTACTGATGCAGAAGGCCCAGGCTGATCACCCTGTTCAACACCTTGGTACTCAGCTTTCTCCAGCCATAACACCTATCCTACCCTTACTCACACAGCTTGTAAATTTAACATAAAATTTTGTTCTCCCATGCATTATGAGTTTGATGAGTAGCAACACCTTGTATCATTTTCAAAATTATTCCAAGTGCATGCTTTCTCCTTGAAGATCTATATATCAGGAAGAGCTCAAAAAGAATTTATTTGCAACTACACATGACTTCGTTTGAGTAAGCACAGCTTTTTCTGGCATGTGAAAAGCAAAATCACTGTGGTCGCTAAAAGTTTCAGAATCCTCTTTAAGAAACTGGAGACCACAATTGCACTGTAAAATTCAATTGTTCAACTGTGCAAATTACACCCCAGACAGGTCTTATTTATTTTATGGATCCTATTTATTACTGTTCATTTGAGCTTTGTGTATTTTACATTTCTGGCAGCACATATATCTAAACAGATAGACTGCAGTGATTGTATTGAGCCAAAGGGGTTTTTATCACTCCCTAAGGTGAATGGTTTACTCAGGAAAATTGTATCTGCACTTCATTTAAAGTAAACCCTGAGGAAAATCCAAACAAATGGGGCATGATATGTTTATCTCTTGAATTCTAAAAATACCCTCAGAAGCCAGATTCCCTATGGAAGGTGTCACTGTGCTTCCAAAAGAAGGTACAGGACTTCAGCTTCGTCAGACTTTCATTCCAAAACAACATACAAAATGACTCGACTATACTGGGAACACGAAGAAGAAATACATTTTACGCAAAATTAATATTTTCTCTGACTTAGATAGCAAGTTGTAAGCTTGAAACAGGGAAGGTTATTTCTGAGTTGAAGCTGAAGTTGCCTAAGTTGCTCACATATGATTTCTGTCCCTACCAATCTGAGACACCTTTAATTTTTATTGTCCAGAGCAAAACTAAGACAGAAAGCTGTTACACAGAAGTAAACCATCGGAGGACATATTTGTTATCCAGAAAACATGTGTGAACTGAACCTTCTGTTCAGGTAAATGTTCTGGAGGGCATGTTTAAGGTCACAAAGAGAGAAACAGATATAAAACCTATGTTAAATGCACACATATCTGTTTGTATGTCTCGACATGTATACATCAACATCAACTCATGTGCATGAGGGCAGCATCAGAGCAGAAAATATCCATGCCAATTTGTGAAACTAGTCCCTTCACAAAATGACCAAGACATACTCAACACTCTGATTACTTGAGGACAGTAATCAAGAAACATCCTACACAAAATTACTTTTCTCTTACATCTATTGTCTAATAATGGGAAGTATCATACATTATCTCAGTGAAAAAAGAATTTCTCTTCACTCTTTTGGCACCAACTGTTACACTACAGGTTTATTTTCTTACAATTGCAGCTATTTGTCTTTACAGTTCTTTCATCAACTGAGCTGCATTTAAAAATATCCTGGACTTCCACCAATACAATAGTAATTTCCTGAAATATCTAATAATTTTTTTGCAAATTATGGAATAAAGTATTAATGCTGTGAAATGACTAATTTCCATATGATTAAATATATACATCTGAAGCAGTGATTCATCAACAAGTTCATATACTGGTAACATTTCAGTACGCAAAACATATGACACTTATTAAGCAAAGAATTCACATTTGCTTAATATTTGCTCTTTGTGGGAGGTTTCCTGTCTCACACTCAGACCATAACACACTCTGCATTTCACATAGACAGTACTGAAAGAAAGCCTTAAACACAAAGTCCACAGAAGACGAAACTGTCACATTTGCTCATTTGGTTTTCCTTAAGAAAATATTTTGGTAACTAATAACAACAGGTTCTAGTATTTTTTTTATTTTCTTTGAACAGATGCACTATGAATATCCAGAGCAGAACACAGAATGTGAGCAGGAAAAACTGAAAAGCTATACAATCTGAAATTTGTAATAATATGTACTGTTTTATAAATCTGAAACTGTCAATCAAACAGATGAACTCAGACAGAAGTACTTACAGATGGGACAGGGATACCAGGTCGTTGAAAGAACCTTCAGGAACACTGGAAATATCGTTTCCATGGAGCGTCCTAGAAGAGGGGAGAAGCAGGAAGGTATCAAACCACAATATTTTACCTGCTTCCCACAAGTGAAGGAACTGGTATTTAAGAAGGATATTTAATTTTGTTTCTTTCAGAGTTTCTATGAGCTTCATAACTCATGAGCTTCCATGCTTTATTACTTCTACTTCTAGACATTGGCATTTAAAATAATGATACAGTTGGAATTGTTGGTGACTAATGTTTTAAATTAAAAAGGTGACATAGTATTTACACTATTAAAAGTGTATTGACGACAAGCAGACCCTCACATACAGATCTGTATTCTTTTATAGAATCCTATTAGCCAGAAACACAGGAAAAACAGAACAGGCAAAATAGGAACTGTGAAAGTTAAATTAAATATTGACTTCAGAGAGATTCTAGGAGAGAACAAGGGTCCATGAAGGCAGATATAGCTGCAGTTTCACATTCTAGTTTCCCATTCTTACAGTAGGAAATACCTCTTTGTGTGGTATTTTTTAAATCCGTTTGACAACTACATTTGTGTTACCAAGGAAAACACTTGAAATTACTTGTTTTAGGGCATTATTCACCCTGCACAAAGAAACTAACATTTTTCTAGCAGCGTTTTCGGGATCCTTGCAAAAGGGTTCTCCACTGTTTCCAGGACAATTTAAGCAGCTACTTTATCTCTTTTCTAAGAAGTACATTTATGTGTTTGTTACATAGGCAAGCATAAACAGGAAGATTTTTCTTGCCGCTTGTAGAGCACAGTACTTCTATTCAAAGTGGCAGACACAAGAGTAAAAATCGTTATTTGTGATTAGTTGTGGTTTTCATTGCAATTGCAACTGAGGGTCCTGCTACAAAGTAGGGCACCACCACTCGAGGTCGTGACAGACAAATAGAGAGGAAGAGCACTTCTGGCAGCACCAAGGCTACAATCAGACAGGAAAAAATGCAGCATCAAATGAGTGTGTGGGAGGGCACAGGATGCTGTGGATGACAATCACATAAAAACTATCCAGAAAACGCATCAGAGAAGATATACAATCATGTAAAATTTTATTTTATAAATAACTAAATCAGCTATTCAGCTACTGCATCCTCTGCCTCACTAGATAATTATCTGGCAAAAAATAGCATAGAGAAAAACATTTATAGTTTATTCTACCTTTTCTAGTTTGCATGTCACTGAATACCAGTTTACTGCTTCACATAGTAACAGACAGAAACTTACAAGAACCCAATAGGATTCAATTCCGCTGGATGTCACTAGTCCTTTCTAAAACAAAAGTTGGTAGAAAACTTGCAAAGAAAAAGAGTATCAATATTTTGAAATTATATTTTCTTTTGCACTTCTCCCCTGAGCTGTTTCAGTTACAGTAAACTGCTGTATTCTTTATGTCCTCTTTCTCAGGTCCAGGAACTACTGTCAGTGCTCTAGGCATAGCTGAAGAAGGTGGAAAATAGACATGTGCTGTGTGCCAGTTTTGTAGCAGCTCTTTCCCTTGAGTCATTTATTTTCAATGTACCCGATGTTTTGTGGAACACACCAATCACTTCTTATTTTTTATTTCTGTGACTGTACAGATTCTTGAAATGATAACATTGAGTTTATTTAAAACAAACCAATCATCTGGGCCCATAGAAACACACAATAGCCCTAGATGAAAATAAAAGCATCTCTTTTTGTATCCTTTCTTCCCTAACACCACTATAAGCTTCACCAGGATATACATGATGCCTTATAACTCTTACGAATTCTACCTTTACACACTGCCTTAACACCAGCATACACACAGCAAGGAAAGCCACATTTGCCAGGGGAAGATACACCTTGTCCTGTCTCCCATTGGGCTGTGAACTATGTGAGCGTAAGCAATGTTACCACGATCACGTTTTACAGCTCCTCACTGCAGCTGCAATTTCTATCTTACTGTACTGCAAAGTTTTTCTACAGAGCATGAAACCAGAAGAACTACAGCAGAGTTATCCTGCTGGCAACTCTCTTGATGCCACTATACCAAAAACTTCCCCTTCCAACATCCTGATTCTGAAAGTTTCTTTAAAGCATACCTAGGTTCTGGCTATTAATAATAATGCTTGGAATATATAAGGATGGATCCTCAAGTAATTAATCCAAACAGGAACAGGAAGGATATGAGCTCCCACACAATAACTCCAGATAAAGCACACTTACTAATTCTATGAATGACCAACTGACTGAGACATACCCCATAGCTATTAAATAAGGAGTATTTTTGTTGGTATGAGGATGCAAGATGAGGTCTGGTCAAGAACTTGTCATCAAAATGTTCCCTCCTTCAACGAAATGAGCATATTTAAATAAGCAGCCACTCATAATAAGCTTATATTCTGATCTTTTAAACTGTAAGTAAAGATGTGCAAGATCATTCTCTCTGAACAGACAGTAGAATTTAGATTTATCTTCATGTCACATCAGTTGTGTTTATTCTGTGAAGGGGTGCATTTTCTTTTATAGATGTCTTGGAAACTTCTTCCAAGAGAAGCTGAAGAATGACAAAGCCATTTATCTGTAAGAAGGTAAAACCATCAAAAATAGAAAAGTGTTTGGAATTAATGGCTTGACTACATATCTCAAACATTGAGGTATGTTTCATGGATGCAAATGTCTGCATTTTAATAAAAAAAAAAATCACATCAGCAACATCACCACCCATGCAGCTAAAATGAAATGATAAATGCTAAATACGTAAAACCCACAATAATAAATAGTGGCAAGAGAATTCAACAATAAAACAAAACGCTTGAATCCTTGAAATAAAAACTTTCTTCTACATGAAATCTCACTAATTTATTACTTGCTCTTCAGGTAAGGAAATAAACTAAATGTATCCTTTTGGGTTGGTTGGGGTTTTTTGGTTGTTTTTTCTTTTATTAACTGCTCCCAAGTCCTGCCTTCTAGTCCACTGTCTCATAACATTAGGTTACTATAGGCACAAAGGGAATGCTTTTTCAGTAAACAATTATCTACCCTGCAAAGACAGAAATGTGGCTAAAAGTTTGTCCGAACTTACAGAACCACATCCTATCAAGGGCAAACACCTACAATGAACCCCAAAGGATGCCACACACTGCGGGAACCAACACAACTCAGATGCCAGAAGAAGTGGGAAGCCACAGTGTCACTGCTCAATGCTCAAAACAACAATGTCTTTTACAGATTTACTGGATAAGTACAAGTAGTCATTCTGTGATGGGGGGGCGGGGGGGGGGGGGGGGAA